CAACCATTTTGGAGAGAGATTTGGAATTATGCCCAAAGAGTTATATGTAACTCTTTCACCCAGCAATACCACTACTAGCTCTATGTTGAAATACGATTAGGGAAAAAGGAAAAGAACCTATATGTTCTAAAATGTTCATAGCAGCCCTCTTTGTGGCAGCAAAGAACTGGAAATTGCAAGGATGCCCATCAATTGGGGAATGCTGAATGAATTGTGGTATATGATTGTGATGCAATACTACTATGCTATAAGAAATGATGAGCTCAGTGATCTTAGAAAAACGTGGACAGACTTGCAATTTCCCAATTGATGGGAATCCCAGCAATTTCCAGAGGTGACATGACTCAAGGTCAAGAAATCTAAACTCTTGAGCAAATGTCTGCAAAACTTACAGTTAGCGAGTTCAACTCCATACTGTCTTCTCACCACTTAGACCTTGTTAAACCCTAACTCTAGGGTTTAACTCTCATCATCTAATTATTGTGATGCTAGTGAATGGAGGTAGAGGAAGTCACACATCCAACAGAACTGAACAGTATACTACATTCTCTCTTGGTGAATTCATCAGTTCACATGGGTAAATTATCTCTATGTAGATAGTCCACAGATCTATATAGCCAGCCCCAGTCTGTTTCTGGAATTCCAGTCAGGCATTACCAGCTATTTGTTAGACATTAGGTTTTCATTTTGTTGTCATATAGGAAATCTTTTACTTGATATATCCAATACACTACTCATCTTCCCTAATCCCCTGCCCGCCCCCCCCCCCAAACCTGCCTCTTTCTTTAAACTTCCCCATTTCTGTCAAGGGTACCACCATTCTTCCAGTTATGTAAATTTGCAGCATCAGTGTTATCCTCAACTCACTTTTCCTCACTCCAAGATATCTGATTAGTTGCAAAATCTTGCCATGTCTTACCTCCACATCATGTCTTGTATCTGACCCTTTCTCTTTATTCACATTACCACCATTTTAGACCATTCCTTAAGTGCATATAACTTTTCTGTTCAGTAAATTTCAGTGATTCCCTGTTGCCTTTAGACTTAGATATAAACTCCTCTGTGGCTTTTAAATCCTTTGACAGCTTCTCCCTAATCTACATTTCCAGCCTCATTATAAATTATTCCCCTCACTGTACCATATGGTTCAGCAGTACATTAATAGTGTCTTTACTTATATATGTACATACTATTTCACCTGGTAGAATATTAGCAGGTGTTGTTTCTTTCTTTCCTTTTTTTTGCCTTTATATCCTTAGGATGTAGCACAGTTCCCACTACATAGGCAAACATACTTAAATACACAGACTACAGATATATTATGTATACCATAAAACATATAAAGATAGAAATTAAGAAAGGATAATATAAAGATGAAATAGATAATATATTAAAATATTTTTATAAAAGATTTTAAAATAATTTTATTTCATGAATGGTAAAAGAAACCTTTTATTTTCACTAAAATCTTACTATTTTAGTGAGAAGAATGTGACTTGATTATTTTTACAAACCTTGCTAATGCTGTGTTACACTGATTCAGAAATTAGTTCTAAATTAATTTATTTAGATATTTCATTTTTATGGTCACAATAATTGAAAAAGATACCTCACAATGATACCTAAATCCAAATGGAAGAAGTACAGTGTTGGCTTCACTTTCTTGATCATGATACTTATTTTTCAGGCCCATCCACTAACAATGCAAAGTGTTTGTTTAAATTCAGTTAGTTAATTTCCATCTTTCCTGTTAACTAGTTCTTTAAAAGTAAACAGGTGTTGCATTTTTATATTTTTGATAAATGGGTTCAGACCTACTGAATCTATATTTGCAAGACTTTTAAACCCATGAGAAAACTGTTTCCAAGTTATTTTACTGTGCAAATATGAGATTCTTTTGGGTTAAATTTTTATTGATGTCTTTTGCTTATTTTACATTACCCATAATTTCCCTCAGCACCCCTCTCCCTCCTAAAAGAGCTATCCCATATAAAAAATAGTATTTTTTTTTTAAAGAAAAAAAGGGGAGGAAAAAAAATCAGTATAACTGATCAGTACATTGAAAAAGTCTAAACATATGTGCAAGTGTACAATACTTGTGAATTTCTGCAAAGAGGTGAGGTGGGAATATCTTTTCATATCTCTTCTTTCAACCTGTACTTGTTCTTTATAATTTTGTAATACTCACTTTTGAGTTTTGTGTGTAATTCTTATCATTTACATTGTTGTAGTCATGTATGTTGTTTTCTTAGCTCTACTAATTTTATTCTGTAATAGTTCAAATAGATCTTTTTATGCTTCTTTGAATTTATTACATCCTTCATTTGTTATAGCACAGTAATATTCTATTACATTCATGTACCACAGTTTGTTTAGCTCCAACTGATGGACATCTTTTTTTGTTTCTTTGCTGTGACAAAAAATGCTGCTATAAATGTTTTGATGGATATGGGGACATTCTTCTTATCAATGGCCTAGTAATGGAGTCACAGGGTCAAAGGGTATGTACATGATGTGAAGAGATTCAATAGGTGGGCATTCTTGATAATAGAAACCTAATTTTTAATGTTTTACTCTTTGTTATAGTCTATGATCACTGGCTAATATATCCATACAATATACATTTTTGGCAAGATTCATTGTTAATGATAGTGGATAAAAATTCACATTTCAAATAATTTCCTTAATAATTTTTGAAATTTTTGGCCTCTCTGTCATATCTGATTAGACTGTTATTGTTTTTTACCTGGTAATTTGGCTATCAAGAGCTAGGAGTCATTTTATTGCTATTTGTTTGTGCACATATTATTAGTATAGCAGTAAGCAAATTTTCTATGCAGGAATCTTTGAATGCCTCTTCCTCATCTTGTAATGGTTAGTTTAGTTAAAACTAGATAATGTTATATCTAAATCCAAGGACAAGCATAAACTGCAATATGTTACGATATGCTTTAAGACAAGGATGAATGAGGAAGCCACTGGTGTTCCCTTCCAAATTATGGAGTTCCCAATCTCTTGTCATGATATCTCAAGTACCATATTAAATGAGGGTACTAGTATCACTTTCTATATTAAATATTAGTAAAGCTTAGATTATATGTATATTTAGAATAAAAAAAAGAACTTATAATATTTTCTTCCTGTAACCCAATGGATTATCTTAGGCACTTCTTGGAATGTGTGTACTCTGGATATAATGGTACACTCAATAAACTCCAATGGCTCCATATTTCCTTTAGGATTAAATATGAATTACACTATTTAGCTTTTAAAGCTCTCTACAACTAGATGTTAATGTATCTTCCTAGCCTCATTACATATTATTCCCCTTCTTGCATTGTATATTTTAGCCAAATTGGCTTTCTTGCTGTTCCTCATACACAGTACTGATGTCCCCCATAAGTAAAAAGTTTTTGAGCACGTAAACTCGATGTCTATATTTTCCCATTTATGAATTAAATATGTGAACCACTGTGCTAATAATTAGGTGTTTTGTGAAACATACCTAAAATAGAAATTAAAAGAATGATATTAAGATAAGATAATATTTGATCTTAGAGTCAATAGAAAGCCACTGGAGTTTATAGAGTAGGGGAATACCATGGTCAGACCTATGCTTTAAGAAAATCATTTTGACAATTGTGTGGAAGATGGACTATAACGGAAAGAGATGAAGCAGGGAGACTAATTGCAGAGCCATTGCAATATTCTAGGTGAAAGATGATGAGGATCTATACTCGGGTCAGGTAGCTAGGTGGTACAGTGGTCTGCGCATTGGACTTGGAGTCAGGAACACATAAGTTCAAATCCAGCCTCAGGTATTTAATATCTGTAAAACCCTGGGCAAATCAGTTAACCTCTTTGTGTCTTTGTTTCTCATCTGTAAAATTAGGGTGATGGCAGTACCTATTTCCTAGGGTTGTTCTAAGGATCAAATGAGGTTTGTAAAAACACTTTATAGACCTTAGAGTACTATAGAAATGTTAGCTATTGTTATTGTTAAAATTATTAGGGTGGTGGCTATATGAGTAAAGAGAAGAAACAGATGTGAGAAATCTGGAGGTATAACTGACAAGATTTGACAATGGGATATGTGGATGTGGTCTGAGGTAAAGTGAGGAGAACAACATGGCAGAGTAGTTATGAAACCCTGTGTAACTGGAAGG